TGGAAACATGAGCTGCTCTGTCAAAGCCACAGTCTCAAACTTGTGATGTCATCAAGTGTAAATTCAGTTTACCTTCTTATTTCTCTTTTGTTTTTTGGAAACTTGATTTCCCTTTTTTTAAGAAAGACATGACCGTGTATTCCCCCCAGCTATGGAACATTCCCCTGGGTGCTCTCATTCATCTAGAACATCTTTCCTAATTCATTTTCAGTGGATAGGTTCCAGACTTCATGCTCGATGACATCCCAAATTAGAGTTTTAGCACTTTAGCTTCAGATTTGGGGTTGAGCTGAGAAAGAATGATTGTGTTGACATTGTGCAAGCAGACCTAGTTCAACTGCGACAACCTTGTGTTAGTTATTTTATTTTGCTCCCTTCATAAATTCGTCTGGAACATCATGACCGTAGCCATCCACTCTGACATGAGGTGGCAGCATCACTAAAACACCAACAATCAGCTCACTGTTAACGATCACTCGGGATGCTTCATATCCCTAAGTCTTTACAGCCTAAACTAAAAGCTTATGTAAAACCATGAACCATAATAAATGATAAGTGTTGAAATTGTGTCAAATTCAAAACATCGTCCTCTATTTGTTAAGGCTGTGTAGCTTTGTGCGAAGCTAAGTTAATCTTCTCCTTGATAAGTTCCGTATTAAAAAGGCACAAACATGAGACAAAGATTTATTGTCTCATTTGAGTCTCAGAAATAGCGCTAATAAGTCGTCAAGCAGAGTCATGATAACAAAGCAGTGAATTATATCATCATTAGCGGACAATAAAAGTTCTTTTTTTGAAAACTTATTATACGGTGCATCACAGGCAGTCAATCCGTCCTTTGATACATTATTTTGTTATCGGCGCAGACAAGTGGAGCAGAAAATGGAGGGAAATACCCAGCTGCTCTTTGCCCAGCACGTTGGATGCCTGTGGCGTGAAGCCCTGTGGGCCGTACGCTTCACAAAGATCCACTTTTTATCCTGTACATAAATGATATCTGTGATCCACTGCCATTGCTTAAGTGTGTCCTCTATGCCGACGACACAAGTTTACATAGCTCCGGAAAAGATCTTGGGCAGCTCTTGTGTGCAGTGGAAAAGGAATTAGAGACCCTCAAGAAGTGATGTGATATTAATAAATTATCACTGAATCTGTGTAAAACAAAATACATTATATTCGGCAATAAAAAAATCAATAGACTGGTCAAACTATCGATAAATGGTGTCGAAATTGAACAAGTTTATGAACATAAATTCTTGGGAACCATTATAGACAATAGACTCAGCTGGAAACCACATATAGATAATATAAAAACAAAAGTCTCAAAAACAATTGCAATACTACATAAAATAAAGTACACAGTGAACGAAAACTCACTTTACATACTGTACTGCTCCCTCATACTTCCATACCTAACATATTGTGTGGAGGTATGGGGGAACACATATAAAACAATCATCAAACCAATCTTCACCCTGCAAAAGAAAGCCATTTACAATTGTACATCAAAAGGACTACTTTGCACCAACCAATCCACTTTTCATCAGTACAAATACTCTGAAATGAGAAGATCTGGTTAACCTCAACACTGCTGTAATACTCTATAAGGCTCACAACAACCTACTTCCACCCTGCAGACAGGAGCTGTTTTCCACCAGAGAGTCCCAGTATGACCTTAGGGCGACCTGCATTTTTAAGAAATCTAAGGCAAGGACCAACACAAAAGGCAAATGCATAGGCTATCTGTAATTGGAGTAAACTTATGGAATAACATTGATAAAGAATTAAAAACATGCACATCAGTCACTAAATTTAAAAAGATGTTTAAAACTAAGGTATTCAATAAATATAAAATATTAGGATAAAGTAAGCCAATTATTAGTATAAACTGAAGATTTTGCTTAGATTAATATTATTTATTGTTTTCAGTTTGGATAAAAAAATCATTGTTTAAAACTGTGCCATCCTGTTATCTTGTTCTGTTTCTGTAACTTTCCTGCTAGTAAATAGGGTAGGCAATAATAAGCTGTTGCTTCAGCCTACGCCTTTTCGCCCATACTTAATATAGAAATCCTAATTGTATGTATGTAAATATCATGTTCTATTGAATGGACGAATAAATTACTACTACTACTCACACAGACATGAGGAGGAAATGTGATCATTACAACTCTAAAAGGTGAAATTATCCTGAACTCTGATATTTCATATCATACTGTATTTGCTTTAACTGGAGGGTAGTATGGGGCAGATCTACAACACCAATGCCAAAAAAAGTTGGGATGCTGCATGAAACGTAAATAAAAACAGAATTAAGTGATCTGCACATCCTTTCTGACCCATACTCTGAAGACAAGATATTTAATATTCAAATTCTGTTGTTCTGATGTTGGAAGATCAACTTGCAACCATTGGCGAGTTTCCTGCTACATGCCAATATCTATCTTTGTGTCGGACAGTTTCAGCTATTTTTCCTAAGTATAATGTAGAAAATGAGTAGACTAAATCTATTTCAAATATCTTATGAGTCTGAGCTGCAATCTCTTATCAATATGGTTGTATTTTTGGGCCCAGAAAACATGATGGTCTCACTTGTCTTTTGTTTGCTTGTCCTAACTTTCTTTGGAATTTGAAGCAGCATCAAATTCAGAATGAGTGTATATTTATATAAAAACAATAAAGTTCATGAATACGAATATTAAATCTTGTCTATGGACTGTATTCAATTGAATACAGGTCAAGAAGAAACTGCAACTCAGACCTGCTTCAACTTTTGACATCATTGTTTCGTAGGTGTGGTGTCACTGTGCATAACGTTATCTTTAAGGGCACAAAGGCTTTTCCCAACAGGGCTCAGATGTTTTTATATCTCAGTAGGTTATCTACACTGTCACTACTGTTTGGGAGCAGCCAGATGGTGAGCTGCGTTGATAAACTGTAATTGCTTACGTCTAGTTACTGACTTTGTCTGTTGCTCAGGAGCACATGAGAAATTAGGTTGATGAGCAGTGAAATGGGTAATGTATACAGCGTTACACAACCCCTACGTCCTGCACTGATGACGTAGTCCCTGTCAGAGACGCATCAGCACGCATTAGCATTTACACTACAAAACACGTGGTCAAATACGTCCCAGAAAGCCCGTTCTCATTCTTAGGATGTCAGATACTGCCACTTCATCATGCCCTCAGTGTGTGATATCGACGCCAAAGGCAGCATTCAGCATCTTAATTAGACGCAACAGGCCGTCAAATAACTCCAATGTAAACCGATCCATGGCAATAGTTGATGCTGAGAGCAACTGATGTAGCATGAAGAGCGAGAAAGTCCACGTAGGGTGGCTGAGAGGAGATGGATAGGTCAAAGAACCGCACTTTTATTCTGGAGACCAGTGTGACACAAAGAGTCAGTGTTGTTTTAATGTAACATCGGGCAATTTACATATGACTGTTGTTCACTAATCTGACTCACATAGCATATTTATGTCACATTACTTATTTAAACGTGTAACCAACCAAGTAGTTTTGTAGCCTAAACCTAAGCACAACGGTTTCACAGCATTAACCACACACTACAACTTACGTCAGCTCTGTGCTGAGAGGTACATTTGGAGTACTTGGCTCAGCCTGCCGCCCCTTGACCTGGCCCTCGATAAGCAGATGAAAATTGATGGATTAAAATTGTGTAGCTTTAAAGTTCAGTTTTAATTTTCAGGAAAGTAAATCATACTTAAAAAAAAAAACTTAAACTCAGAGCAGAAAAGCGCCCCACATCATCTCCGCTTTTTCCCCATTGTCCAATCAGATGATGTGAGAGGCGAGGCTTCGGTGGTTCTCACGACAACAAGTTTACAGTTGGTAAACAATGGAGGAGAAACTGGTGGTAGTGGTTGATGGATACCCAGAGCTATACGGCCTGATGATAGACAGCAGGTTGTCAAACTGCCCCTGAGTCGTCCTAAAATCTGCCTGTAAACGTCCATGATGGAGGAGAAGCTCCTGGACCAACTGGTGGTACTCCCCATGATCCAGCCTCTTTTTTAGGGTCTCATGTACCCACACAGATCTCTGTTTATCTGCTGACAGCCTCTCACCCTCAACCAGAGCTACAGACAGAACCCTCTGCCTCAACATGGCAGCAGCTACACACTGATTACTGAAAAATAAATATGATGTGGTGGTTGCCTGCACTGCAGCCTCATGATGAAAACGCACACACAGGGTGTTCAGGTGTTAAACCCAGTGTGAGTTCATCCCCCTCTTTATGACTCTTTGTCCTGTCAGTGACCGCTTTATGCTTTTTTATCTCTCATGGCTGAAGTCAGGCAGAGTTTAACCACTGTTTGACGACCCTTCAGAGAACATAAAGTTTCACGATAAGAAGTCTTCTCTCTGAACCAGGCACGTGCACAGGTAGACCCCAGGTGCTGCTCAAGCTGCTGCTCTTTTGCCCTCTAACTAGACAAGTGTCCTTTTTGCAAGATGTGCCTTTTTCTATTTCTTTTAATTAATTTTTAATTCTATATCTTGCCCGACAACTGCATCTAAGGTGAGTCCCCGCTCCTCCCTCTTTAACTTTCCTCATAGCAGCCGCATGCAAATCGAGCGCCCTGCAGAGCAGCATCACATCTCCCTGACCTGTGTTCACAGACAGCCAGGTAACGATAGTGTTTGCCCTCAGCCTCTGCACTGTTTGTCACTGATGTGAAATTAAATTACTACTAAAGCATCAACAGGGGCTGACTAATTTAGGCAAAAACCCACCGTTAATTTTATCAACAAGTAAGATAGTCCCTCAGATTCAGGTTCACCAGCTGCCCAGTGTGAGCAGACACAGACGCCAAATTGCTTTCGAACGTCCACGTGTCTCTCAACCAAAACTCAGTCTGAAGTAAAGTTTACGTCCCCCATGTCTTGTCTCTAATAATTAAATTAAACAAAAATGACATGCAGTTTGGACCTGTGGTTTGTAAAGAGCTCAGGAGATGAACTGCGCCTCACCTGGAAAGTGGACGAGCTCAGGCCGCTGCAGCAGGAGGCGGTGACAACAAGCTGCGTGAAGTCAGACAGTTTCCAGCAGCCTGTACAGGAAGTGACAGAAACACACACATCCTGTCAGATCTGAAAGTCGATCAGCTGTTAGATCAGGTGAGAGCCAGGTGTTTCCCATCATGCTCTGGGTCTTGCAGTAGCTGGAAAACAACTGCAGCACCTGGCTCTAAAAACTGCGGCTGCCTCACTCTCACGAGAACGTCGCTGTACACTTACGTATGACGTCAGAGCAAGTTGGGATGAGGTCGGACACAAACTACCCAACATGCATTGAGCAGTGATCGCTGGTGATCGAGTCTGCGCAGGCCTGGCTCATCTCCAACAAGCCTAATGTCTGTGCACGGCACTGCTCTGGGCCTAACAGGTAAAGCAGCATCTCATTAATGCAAGGTCATCATCTTTTCTGTCAACACTAAGAGTTTAGTTCTTTTTTATGCGTCCACGCTCGTGACAGCCGCGGCCAGAGGCATCATGTTTTCATGTTGTCTGTCTGTCTGTCCCATCCTTGTGAACACGATGTCTCAAGAACACCTTGAAGGAATTTCCCTACATTTGACACAAACATCCACAACTCCAGAATAAACTGATCAACATTTGTGGTTGAAGGTCAAAAGTAAAGGTCAGTGTGACCTCACAGAACCTGTTTTGGGCCATAACTTGTCACATATCAGTTCAGACAGGGACCTAAAGGCGGAGCAGCAGGCAGGTGGAGGTGGAGCACAAGGCGAGCTTTAATAAAGGTGATCAAGAAAACATCTAGTCAGGCAGGAAACTGAAAGTCCAGAAGAAAGAAGAACCAAAACTAAACTGAAAACCTACCGGAATAACTCCGTGAACTCAGGGATGAAACCCAGAACAGAAGACAACAGAAGCAGCAAAAGAAACAGAGGAGCGATCGACACCACAAACACAGACGAACTAAAGTGGAACAAAGGTAAACACACAGGTGTATATACACACAGAAAACTAATCACAGGAATAAGACACACCTGGAGGAGGAGGAGGAGGACAAATTCAAAGACTAATACAGAACAGGTGTGAAGGGAAGACTGGGAAACAGGGAAGGACTAACAAGACAGGTGTGACAGAAAACAGGCAGGAAAACACACAGAGACAGGAAGCAAAACCAGACATGACACATGAGGAGAGACTCTACAAAATGAAACATGGAACAAGGTGACAAACACAGACGGCGGCACTTCCCAGTTCTGTTTCACCCTCGTCTCCGCCATGAGACAAAAAGGTCATGTTTTATGTTACAGTAAACATTTGCTTTTCCATTGTCATTTAGAGTGGTTGTCATAGCAACAGCCAGGGAGCAGGACTGATTATTGGCTGCTGATTAGTTTTAATAACTCCACTGAAGACGTCGAGCCGACTCAGGTGAACTAAATGACTTGGGACAAAAAACACGATGATGTTAACTGAGACAATTATTTTATTATTTTAATACAAAGTCTGTTTACAAACAAACAATCTTTAGTATCAAACACACGTTACACAGAAATATTAAAATCCTTCCTCCGTGCTGACCTGAGATCAGCCGGAGCGACACTTTGACTACATTCACCGTGAGCTGTTTAATGACCGTTAATATTAAAGACACAAAACAAAACATGAAGAGTTCAGAGCCATCAGTGCTGCGTTCACAGGCTGTGGGAAACTTGGAAATCCAAGTAAGAGTAAAAATAAAATTACAAGAATGAATTCACAAATAAAATTAGAAATTAAAATTACTCATTAGGTCGATTAAATGAGATTAAATAAGATCCCAAAACCAAAATATAAAATATAGAGATACAATATTTGGAAGAAAAAAAAAAGAGAAGCAAATCAACTGTTTTTGGAAAAAAAAAAAAAAAAGCCAAATTTCTATCAACTGATTAATTGTTGTAATAATTATTTTATTAACTTATTATCTTATATTACTGAATTGTTTGACTTAGTGATCTACGGACACATGGCTGCTTGTTTTTTACTGTGTCTTTACAGGTGTCCCTGAGTGCTCTGATAGGCACCTTTAAATAAAATGCATCATCATTATTGTTATTATTATTATTATTATTAATTGATTAATGTAATCATTTCAGGTCTAATGAAAAGTGACAGACACTTCCAGCCCTCGCAGTTTTCTATGACATTATGAAATAACACCACACTTTTGAAAAATGTAAATAATGCATTAAAAATTATATTTATAACAACTTAGTTATTATAAAGATTAATAATAAAAACCACTACGCTATGATTGGTTGAGTTTTAATAATTTGGGTCATATTTTTACACAATTTATTAATATTATTTATTTTAAGATTTTTTTATGTATTAAATATTGACGGTTTGGGGGTTTGACATGAAACTATTAACTGACCAAAAAATGAAATTAATCTGTATTTATTTTGATAATCAAATAACCTTTTAATGTCAATTCCAAGTGAAAGAATAAAATAAAATAAAATGACATAGTAGTCTTCTGTTTCAGCTCCTCTCTGTTTCATATTAAATAAATGAATATTTTGGTTACATTTTGGGCTTCAAACTGTTTTTCAGGCAAAAAACAAGAAAACTTTAAAATAAACTTTACAAAGACAATATTGGTCAGATTAATAGAAAATACAAATAACTGTTGGCTGCAGCCTGAAAATGAACTTGGGCTTAAATGTATGTCTGATTTATTTCAATTTAAACAATAAATGCTTTTAACCCAAACTATCTGTGTGACTCTGAACATCACAGACCAGAGAACAAATGAACAAACAGATAAACATTAAAAGGTTTAATGCTGAAACTGTTTCCTGTACAAAGGAAACCTGAGCACAGTGAAACAAACCTGACAAAGAATAAAGAAACACTGACGAATAACACAAGAACACAACAGGAGGAAACAGCAGTGATGGAGGTTTGGATGGTGGACGACTGTTTCAACAGGAAATAAATCACATTAAAGACAAAAAACATCTTTCTGTAACAGTCAGAGCTGGAAACACTTTATTCTATGGATCCATACGACTCAATAATTTCAAAACTATTAAGTTTCCTGGAAGGAATGTTTCAATGTGGAACCTTTTTAACACACAACACAAAGTCTGATGGAAAACCTGCAGTTTTATTTATAATGTTTTCTGTTTACAGCTGTATATAATCCCTAATTATATAACTAACTAAATTAATACAACCTGGACGTGGAGGAGGATGAAAACTGATGGATGTATTAGCTCATTTAAAAGTAACGTAAAAATACTCTGCTGCAGGTAAAAGTCCTGAATTCTATCTATGGTAATAAATCATTTATTAGTTGATATATTTTGTGTTAATAATCTGCAAAGTATCTGAAGCTATCAGATAAATTTAGTGCAGTAAAAAGTAAAATGTTTTCCTCTGAGAGTCGAAGAATAAAGAAGCAAAAACTACGAATACTCCAGTAAAGTAGAAATTTTACTTTAATTCTACTAAATCAATATCTGTCAGCTGCAGGCGTAGTCTTAAAGTAACTCAACATGCACAAATGCATGAAAAATGTGAAAATTTTAGAGTTTTAAAGAATATTTTTCTTTCATTTGTTCCATAAAACATAAAAAGTTCTTTACAGGAGATTATTTGAAAAATATGGAGCCATAAAATAAAGTGTGACAGAAGGGTTTGTTTTGCTTCCGTCGTGTGTCTGATGTGAATTTGGCGGCACTGACAGAAAATTAAAGAACAAAAGCAGACAGAGCTGAAACCTGATTGGCCGTGAGGCGTTCAGGCTCGGCTCTGTGAAGAAATGAACGGACTGAAGACAGTTTACAGTCAGGACTCAAAGAGAGAAAAGAAACCCTTCTGAAAAAAACATCGCTGTCGGATTTCAATCATAAAAATTACAAAAATAAAGCTTCTGTACAAACTTTTGTTTTTTAACAGACTCTTCAGATACAAAAAGGTCCCGACAGGAAAAAACATAAACTCAAACTTTGTTTTTTGCTCTGTTGGTTATAAAAAAGCTGCAGAAACAAAGATAAAGTTGGAGTCCAATACGTCCTGTCCTTTGAGCTCAGGTTTGGTCTCCACCTCAGGCGTTAGTTATGCTCTCCGCAGGGACGTGAGCATGATGATAAAGTTTGGATCTTTTATACACCGAGAAGGTTTCTTCTCACATTCTCCCAAACTGTAGGGGGCAGTGTGTGCACGGTGTTCGGTGTAGAAAATCTACAGATAAATACCCGCCGTGCGCTTGTTAAGGGCCGAACCTGATGCTGTGACGTCACTTTGGCCACACAGACACTCACAATCAATTTTTCTGCACTCACAGTTTATAAATCCAAAAACAGCAGATTTGCATTAAAATATAAAATGTTCTGTCGACTGAAATGAAGAAGTATTCTAGCAGCTGTAGCTAGCTACTGCAAGCTAATGCTAAAGCTAATGCTCTGTAGTTAGACTGTCCTGTTTACACTTTGGCAGCGGTGGAAGAAATAATCAGACCTTCTTCTGCTTAACTCAAAATAATACTACCAAAGAGCTGAAATACTCAAGAGGAGGAATTCTTGCAATGCTAATAATACTAAACAGATGGAGCGTGACACCTGGTGAGACACCTGCTGAGCTGCAGCTCACTGTAAGACACCAATTAACTACATAACGGATTGTTTTTAGTGACCTGTCGCTGTTTTTTCAGCGGGGATAGTGCTATGAAGAGTGGCTGTTTTTCATATGTGGATTGTGCCCTCAAAACCATCTGCATCGCCTCACCGTCGGCCAATCAGTACGTACATTCTGCACCTGAGTGAGAGGAGATAACTCTATGCACAAGCAGGCAGCTGTAGTCTGTAATCATCATTTAAAAAGGGAAACAAGAAGACCGCAGACCATATGAGCAGAGGAAATCTCCCCTCGTCACTAGGCTAATTTATACAATGTAAAATGCCATAGGCTTGTGCTAATAACGTTAGCATGTTGTATTTTTTTGGAAAACGTGTTTAGTATAAGACAGTTGTTTTGTCAGTGAACCTAGTGAGATGTAAAAGAGAAAAATTATATAACGATACCTTTGTTAAATGTTGCTGTTGTACCTGGATTAATATGAGAAGAGGAAAAGTCTGCTAGCTGCTAGGCTAATTTATACAATGTAAAATGCCATAGGCTTGTGCTAATAAAGTTAGCATGTTGTATTTGTGGGGAAAATGTGTCCAGATAAAGACAAGTGTTTGTCTGTGAATGCTGCGAGTTATAGTGAAGCTGATTTGTGTTTGACACTGTCTCTATTAAGCCATGTTTAACGTGTGTTTAATGTGTGTTTAATGTGTGTTTAATATGTGTTTAATGTGTGTTTAATGTGCGTTTAATGTGTGTGTAATGTGTGTTTTAGGTGTTTTGAATCAACTAAACTTTACAGCACTTCACAGTGGTTGCTGTAGTACTTCTTAAAGTATCTTTATCATGTCTTTATTATAACTTTTCTATCAGTACTTCACCTTATCTTTACTTGCTCTTCACAGGTTTATTTTTGCTACAAAAAAACCCCAAATTCTTTGTAAGTGAAAACCTGCTTCTGATTCTGATAGTAGAGTTTGTTCTTGCGAGTCCTCGAACATGGACATTTTTTAAAATACCCATCCCTATCAGAGACGCAGGACGCCTGCGTTAACACACGACATTAGATTACGTTCGCCGGCTACAGCTGATAAAATACGGTGTTAACTTCTGATCCAGTATTTAAAAAATGACCTAATATTTATGTTAATCTGCCGTCGCCATAACTGTAAACTGTGTTTGTGCTGTTGGGTCGACTGAAGGTCTGTGAGTGAGTCTGTTCATGATACAGTCGATTGATTTATTGATCATGTAGGAACTTTGATTTGTTTTTCTGCTGTTTATGAACCATTTTACTTCCTTAAGTTAGTTAGTTAATTAGTCTTGATCCTGAAGTCAGGAAACAGCTAACCAGCATGTGGTAACTATGGCAACAGAGCTCTATGTGGCAGCTGATTGGCTACTGAAGACGTCACAAACCTGCCGCAAACTGTTCAGACATTCATGTCTCAGTGTGACGACAGAAAACCAAACGTTCTGTTGGTTCCATCTGACCGTCTGCAGAGTCTCAGTCTGAACAGCCAATCAGAAGCTGCTCTCCTTCATGTGTCTGCAGAGTCTCAGTCTGAACAGCCAATCAGAAGCTGCTCTCCTTCATGTGTCTGCAGAGTCTTGGTCTGAACAGCCAATCAGAAGCTGGTCTCGTTCATGTGTGGTTTGGGGCTGGTGGGTGGGCCGGCGGCGGCGGCGGGGCTCTCCGGACTCGCCGGGCTCTCAGGGGACACTGGGACGTCAGCAGGAGGCATAGCAGCGCCTCGGCGGGGTGAAGCAGGCGCCTGAGAACGAGTTGGGCTCACAGCTGCGGGGGTGGGGCTTGTTGGGGGAGTGGGCGTGGCCCTGTGGTGTGACGAAGATGACGATGCTGATGACAGGGATGAAGGCGTTCCTGGGGAGTGGCGTGAACCAGGCGACACAGAGAAGGTGGTGGGGGTCCTGTGGCCGAATCTGGCCTCTAACTCGGTGCACACCGCTAAGCTCCGCCTGGCGCTCTCCAGCCCTGCTGGAACCCCAAACCCAGAGCCTGCCGCCGCCTCTGAACCTTTGGCGCGCTCCTGGCAGCGCTCCACAAAGCTCCCCCTGCGCACAGACCCCCACTCCCTGTCCCGGTCCTGGTGTCTGGAGGGCCGCGGGCTGGCGTTATGGTTGGAGGTGGAGTTGTGGGAGTAGGCCGGGATGGCGAGGCTCTGCGGCCCGGAGTGGGCGGGGTCACGGATAGGTTTGGTGAGGGGCACGGGGGGCGGAGGCTGCCGGGGGAGGCTGCCGCAAAGTGAAGCTGACGAACCCGAAGCTCCAGCTCCTCGTCCTCCTCCTGCAGAGTGCAGCCGCTCCGTTCTGAGGACGTCACTGAGCTGAGAGTGGAGGCTGCGGGGACAGGAAGTCACGTGACACAACAGCAACAACAACACGAGCTGAGTATGAATGTAAGTGCAGACGTGTACCTGCAGGTGGAGGCTCTCGGCGTGCTGTCAGGCGTTCTGGTCAGAGCCAGGTCACACTGGTCCAACAGCTCCAGCAGCTCCTCCTCTGTTGGCCCGCCCAGCGCTGTGAGACAACCAATGAGAGCCACATCACTCACTGACCAATCACAGAGCTCACAGCAGTCACATGTTGTTCTTTAACACTAAAGCTATGTGATCTTCTGTGTCGACATCAGAGAGCGATAAAGTTGTGTCTGTTGAACAGTCTCACCTCTGATGTCGACCTTGCCAGCGATCTCCATGGCGGTCGTCAGGTCCCACATCTGGATGCTGCCGTTGCCGTGGCCGCTGAACAGGTAGCGACGGGGCCGAGAGCCGATGCGACTCGAGCCCTCGCACTCGTGGACCATGAAGGCTGTGATGGAGGTGCTGTCCACCGAACGCACCTCACACACTCTGACACACACACACACACACACACACACACACACACACACACACACACCCCTTCATCAGTGTCCAGTCACATCTCTGTTCTCGTCGTGGCTCCAGTCTGCGACTTCTTTTGTCTCGTTAATTTCTCTGTAGACATTTTTCAGAACATTTAAATGAAAGACCGTGCACACACTCACACACTCACTCACCTCTTCCCGTTGGACGACAGCCTGACGTAGAGTTTATCGGTGTCCGGTACAACTCTCTGGATGAAGACCTGCTGGTCGTCTCTCTCTCCATACGGACCTGAAACCACAAACACACAGTTACCTCCTCACCCTACTGTGACCTCTGACCCCACCTAAACAATCCTTATCTAAAGCCATTATTACACAGCGATCGTGCTACAGAGCTGCTATCAAGTCCCTTCTTTCTGACGCCTTTGCATTTTTACACAGAACCAAACGATGTGGCGTCATGCCGCTCCAGTGTGTGATTTCAGACAACATCCCGACATCTCTGAAGCAAAAGAAGCGGCGTGACGGAGCTGACGTTTAATACAACACAGGGCTGGGGGATACGGCTTAAAAATAATATTGTAATATTTTTAGGCTACATCGCTCTAAAGTATTATGGACTACTAAAAAACAAAATTTATTCAGTGTGAGCTGGAAACAAACAAACAGGTCTCCATGGTGCTCCATGGTCGCAAAATATGACTCAATGGTCGCGGTCTGGAGCCCTGCAGGTACAAAGACACACACGTCCTCTGCTCACACTATCGTCGATCTCATAAGTTATACTGTTACTGTGGTGCCATTAAATGTGAGGATTTATTCACTGTAAGCTGGAAACAAACAAACAGCTCTCCAGTTCATATAGTGATAATATCTGCAAGTCGCACTGGTGCTCCATGGTCACAAAATGGGACTAAACAGTCTGAGGACAAATTAGATAATTAAGTTTTAAAAAGCAAAACTCATCACTCTTTTTGCACATTTTACGACGATACTTTGGATAAAGCTTTGACCTTTAACCCCGTGTCTGTGTGTGGTTGTGTCTGTGTGTTACCTATCTCTGTCCCGGCGCTGCAGCCTCCGTGTCCGTCCACGTCGTCCAGGCTGAGGATCTTGAAGGAGGTGAGCGGCGTTGATCCTGGCTGGGTGGAGATCATTCCTCTGAAGCGAGTCACCGTCCACGTCCGTACGTGGTTGTTGTCGGCACAAACTGACAGATGATAGGCAGACGTGGACAATTTTAGAAACAAAGAAACCAGCAATGTGAAGAAGAACCTGGACTGAGCGACGAGGGGACAAATGGGTGGTTCAGTATGTGGAGGTAAACCCAGGTGTCTCTCAGACTCGTACCTGAGATGAGGTGCTTCTCAGAGAGCATGATCTTGGTGACGGGGCTGCGGTGGACAGAGAAGGTCTGGAAGAGCTGCGGCCCCGAGCCGACCGTCTCTGGATGCTGAACGATGACTCGAACCGTCCCGGAGCTGGTCCCGTACGCGATCTCGATCCAGTTCCCGCTGTCACCTGATCACATGACCAGCAGCAGCAGTATTAGTACAGGTTGTATCAGTGGTACATTAAAGGAGCAGCAGTATTTTGAGCGTACTAGTTTTGGGCGTGAGGTAGACACTGAGGGCGGTGATGGCGTCTTCTGTCGGGTCTCTGTACAGCTCCGTCACCAGCAGGTCGTTATCCTTCATCCTGAGAGGAAACTTCTGCACATCTGACAAACAAACAAACAAACAAACAAACAAACAATCATCACGACCTCTGTTCAATCACATCTTTATTGGTTCGTACACAGAGAACCAACAGGAGAGTCGGGACTCACCTATGTAATAGATGGAGCCGTTGTTGCAGCCCAGGATGAGGAAGGAGCCGGCGGTGTCGTAGCTGCTGATGGGAACAACGTCCTGATTCTGCACACGGAGGACGGAGAACATCACACGACAACAGTGAGTACAAAAAAAATGGAAGCTGTTGATTTTTGTTGTTCAATTTATAAACAACAAAGATATGATGGGTTATAGAGTGATTTGACTCCAACAGAACTGACACCACTGACGTCATGTCCTTTCCTTCTTTCATAGTTTCATGACAGGAACAAGGAAATGACGTGAGTTAGATGGCGTGCAGCCTGCGCTCTTTGATCACCCACCTGCCAGTGTTTGGTGACAGCGTTCCAAACGCCGACCTTCCCCGTGTGGCTGGTGGCGATCAGCTGATTACCAACGAAGAAGAGGGCCTCCACCGGCACGTTCAGGCTGAAGACGCCTGCGGGAACACAGACATGATGTCAGACACAACATAATTCTGTGCTACTGGAACAGTATTAAGATCCTGAAACATTCACGACTGTGCAGAAACTCGCACCGATTTCGTTCCCGTTGCCGTCTGGGCAGATGGCCCACAGGATGATCTCCGTCCCCGAGGCAACAGCCACCATCTTGTCGTTGTCTCCCAGCGAGCCGGCCATCACCTTGGCGTTGAGTGCCACTCTGTCGATCACCCAGTCCAGACGGGGAGAGGTGAAGACCTGCTGCCACCCAGTGGACTCCTTCACCCTGAGAACGAGACAAGGAGAGACCGTCGGGGTTTAAGGTCCAAATCTGAGTCTTCTAATACTGGATATTGATCCTGATCCAATACTTTGATTAAATATAGATCTGACACACTGAAAAAGCAGCGTCTGAATGTGACACGTCTTGTTTTTCACAAGCTTCTGAAGGTCCTGATTCAAAACTATGAAGCTGATCAACTGAAATTACGGAAAGTTTAATTGGAAGAATCCGACTCCTGAAAATGACTGAATAAATACAACATGCTAACGTTATTAGCACAAGCCTATGGCATTTTACATTGTATAAATTAGCCTAGCAGCTTGCAGAGATTGCCTCTGCTCATATGAAGCCAGGATAAATCACACACAAGACTTAAAATGCTATTTTAGTGGAGGCTTTATTGTCTTCACAATTTATTGTTTCTTATCTGTGAAATTAAAGTAAATCAAAGCTTTGTTTCCACTGAGGGAAATGGTTTCAGCTTAATAGACAGGAGGTCTGTGTCGCTGCCACTTAACGTTACATTTCTGGGGAGGTGCGCATCAGGCTACGGCGAAGGCTCTACGTAGACGTGTAGCCTACGCCATAGCCCGATGGCTGCACACTGACAGGCTGAGATATTAAATCCCGAATACAGTTTCTCTCTGAAATTTAACTCTATGGTCGTGTTGGTGCTGTAATATCATTTGAACAGGATCTTTTGTGAGTGTTTGTGTAGTAAACAATCCTGATGACGAAGTATTTACCTGTAGCAGACGACAAACTGTGCGTAGGCCACAGCAATCCAGTTGTGATGACCACAGATGATCCGAACCATGCCGGTGTCTGATAACTGACCTACACACACACACACACACACACACATTAGAAAACTCTGTACTGTTAAAATCCTTCCTTAAAATTTGCCCAGATGTTGCAGGGATGTTCTGTACCTCCAGGCGTCCTCTCCTCGGTGCTCGCTCTGCCCAGTATCCCAGAGTTCCCCAGGTTGGGGGGCATCGTGTTGCTGCGTCTGACCGGCGCTCTCTCTGCCGGCGCAACTCGGCCCGCCATGAACTGCGACCCCGCCACGCTGTGACGGTTACGGCGCTTCGCTGGATACACTGCGACGAATCAGACAGGAAGTGAGGACACAAGAAGGTGAAACAGACAAAAAAACTGCGTCTCAATTCAGAGGGCGGACCCTTAAATTGTTTGTTTGTCCGTAATTGCTTAAATAAGTCGGACCTACGTTACCATGGAAACTTAATCAGGGTTTCTGCAGGGCTCATTTAATTTTTTCACCATCATTAGTCTGAAGAATGATATTGAAAACCAGCCGGAACGATACGGATTATTTTATTATTTTATTATTAAGGAAAAACAGAAATAAATAAACCATAAATTAACAAAAAGAATTTAAAATTTAAAAAGAAATAAAAAACAAGTTCAAAAATGAATAAATATATTTAAAAATAACCAAAAATAAATTAGAGAAAAATTAAAAAGCAAAGTAAACAAAAAGGGAAACAAACAAAGGGAAATAAATAAAGAAGCAAATTAAAATAGAAATATTAATTTGTGTTTTTTTACCCAGTTAATTCATGTCTATTTATTTCTAATATCATATTGGTACATTTTATGGTATACTAATTTCTAAAAGGTATAATTTATTTAATTATGTTTGATTTGAGCAGATATATTTCTGTATATGTTTACATGAATCCCGTCTCGTGAGGACGAGATGTGCCGTGATGTCAGCATGGTTTACCTGGTGGAGGCAGGTAGCCGTTAAACAGCACGTTTCCACAGGACGATCGATCCAGTTCATCACACAGCTGCAGCTTACGCACTGTCAACAAAACACAGTTTTTTTTCATCAGTTTCAACAGTTATGGATTAAATGTAACACGGTGAGGATGTTACAGAAGCATTACTTTTTTAATACAGCCATGGCCAAAAGTTTTGAGAATTACACTAGTATTGGTTTTTACAAAGTTTGCTGCTTCAGTGTTTTTAGATCTTTTTGTCAGATGTTACTATAATATACTGAAGTATAATTACAAGCATTTCATAAGGGTCAAAGGCTATTATTGACAATTACAGTAAGTTTATGCAAAGAGTCAATATTTGCAATGTTTACCCTTCTTTTTCAAGACCTCTGCAATTCGCCCTGGAATGCTGTCAATTAACTTCTGGGCCACATCCTGACTGATGGTAGCCCATTCTTGCATAATCAATGCTTGGAGTTTGTCAGAATTTGTGGGTTTTTGTTTGTCCACCCGCCTCTTGAGGACTGACCACAAGTTCTCAATGGGATTAAGGTCTGGGGAGTTTCCTGGCCATGGACCCAAAATTTCGATGTTTTGTTCCCCGAGCCACGTAGTTATCACTTTTGCCTTATGGCAAGGCACTCCATCATGCTGGAAAAGGCATTGTTCGTCACCAAACTGTTCTTGGATGGTTGGGAGAAGTTGCTCTCGGAGGATGTTTTGGTACCATTCTTTATTCATGGCTGTGTTCTTAGGCAAAATTGTGAGTGAGCCCAGTCCCTTGGCTGAAAAGCAACCCCACACATGGATGGTCTCAGGATGCTTTACTGTTGGCATGACACAGGACTGATGGTAGCGCTCACCTTTTCTTCTCCGGACAAGCTTTTTTCCAGAAGCCCCAAACAATCGGAAAGGGGATTCATCAGAGAAAATGACTTTACCCCAGTCCTCAGCAGTCCAATCCCTGTACTTTTTGCAGAATATCAGTCTGTCCCTGATGTTTTTCCTGGAGAGAAGTGGCTTCTTTGCTGCCCTTCTTGACACCAGGCCATCCTCCAAAAGTCTTCGCCTCACTGTGCGTGCAGATGCACTCACACCTGCCTGCTGCCATTCCTGAGCAAGCTCTGCACTGGTGGTGCCCCGATCCCGCAGCTGAATCAACTTTAGGAGACGGTCCTGGCGTTTGCTGGACTTTCTTGGGCGCCCTGAAGCCTTCTTCACAACAATTGAACCTCTCTCCTTGAAGTTCTTGATGATCCGATAAATGGTTGATTTAGGTGCAATCTTAGTATCAGCAATATCCTTGCCTGTAAAGCCCTTTTTGTACAAAGCAATGATGGCTGCACGTGTTTCCTTGCAGGTAACCATGGTTAACAGAGGAAGAACAATGATTTCAAGCACCACCCTCTTTTAAAGCTTCCAGTCTGTTATTCTAACTCAATCAGCATGACAAAGTGATCTCCACCTTGTCCTCATCAGCACTCTCACCTGTGTTAACAAGAGAATCACTGACATGATGTCAGCTGGTCCTTCTGTGGCAGGACTGAAATGCATTGGAAATGTTTTTGGGGGGATTAAGTTCATTTTCATGGCAAAGAGGGACTTTGCAATTAAATGCAATTCATCTGATCACTCTTCATAACATTCTGGAGTACATGCAAATTGCCATCATAAAAAATGAGGCAGTAAACTTTATGAAAATTAATATTTGTGTGATTCTCAAAACTTTTGGCCACGGCTGTACTATTATCCCGAGATGATAAAAGTCTTTTTCTTGTGATCACAGGTTCATTTATGACGATTCTCAAGAAAAAAAAAAAGACTGATTTCTGAGATAATGAGATGTTATCATGCAGCAACAACTTTTGTTTTCTTAACTCACATCTCCTCAGTGTGTCTCAGTGTGTCTCAGTGTGACTCATTGTGACTCAGTGTGTCTCATTGTGACTCAGTGTGTCTCACCCAGCGGTGTGATGCCGTAGAACTCGGCCTCGTGCATGAGCATGTGCACGTTGATGGAGCGGGGGTACAGCTCTTTGGTCCGCAGGAAGTTGAGGATGGTGGCAAACAGAGAGGGGTCCCTGTCGATGAAGATCTACGGCGAGAGAGGAGGGACATGATGACAATGTTAGGGTCTGATCACGGCACTGAACCAACAGATAAATCATCGCAGAGAGTCACAGTCGCAGACAGTCGCAGTACTCACAGCTCCAGTTTCATCCTTCAGAGTCGAGATCCTCCCGCTCAGAAGACTGAAACACAAAACACAAACCAGCCGCAGCTTCATTTAATAAAGCTGTGTGTCATTATCTTGACAACATTAAACTCCAGGTAAAAATACCACAAAAATAAAATAAGCAACTTCTTATTCAACACAGAATTCCTTCATCAAACTAACTGTCACACTGCTCGAGATCTGTCGTTTAAACTAAAGATCTTGAGTTTAACTTCTGTGTAAGTGCAGTTATTTTTATGCAGACCCATCTTTGTCATTTAGGATCTTAATTTACATTTTAATTCACAGCTGTGTTTGCTAGTTGTCAGGGCAACATAAAAAAATTTCATTAAAAAAAGTTTAACATGGAGTTTGGTGGTGAACATGGCTCAGGGCTGGCTGTACCAGCAGGGCTTCACATTCAGTTTATTCAGTCACTGATTGAGCACTGTGTGACGTCCAGTAAAGACATCCTGTTATTGTTGAAAATAATTCCACCAAAGCCCCGTTACTCATCTTATTCATACGATATCTTCATTTAAATAACAATTCACCGTTGTGATTTCCACTAGGGTTGGCAGTGTGAGTGTGTGTGTTTTGTTACTGACCTTGAGAAAAAGGAGTCAGGGACCCACGTCAGCGTCTGTCGGGAGGTGCTGAACCTGCAAACAAACATGACATTGTTAACTGTCCGTCTTCGTCTACAGAGTTTTCATATCCTCGTTATTGTTTTTATTATTTTGTTTAAATCTTAACCTTGAGCATCTAAAGGAGTAAAATGCAACATTCACATTAATGCAGCAGATATATTAACACAAAACATCTGATATAATAACAGGAAAACACTGAGGGAACATTTTACTGCACAATTAATACTCTGACTTAAGTAAAGTTTTGAAAGCAGCACTGTTACTTGTAGTGGAGTATTTTTACTTCAGTAAAGGGTCTGAATACTTCTTCCACCACAGGTCAGAAAGATAAACAGACACCTGACCTCCTAAACATCTGTCTGTTCTCACTGAACCACATCTGGCTTTAAAAACACGCAACAGCTAAAGAAGCTTAATCCTGTTGGTGTATTGTTGATCCACTACTTGGCCTGATGCTAACCCTGGTTCCATTATCGGACACGGTACTTCACACAAACTCTTCCACGCTAAAGTTACTTTACACACCGTTTAATTATCACCAGTAATCTAAAGTTATAAATCACTTGTTAGTGCGTATTTACCACAGAACACAGTGAGCTAACTTCACGTTGTTGCGCCTTAACTCGACGTTTGTTTACCCTGCTTCCATTATCGGACACCGCGCTTACTCTTCATTGTGACTCCAATTTGGGTTAACGTTACTCTGTCTGCGACAACGTAACTTAACTGTCTAACATGAGCTTGTGTTGACCAAGGAATACTAAGATAATAGTATTTACACATTAGCATTAGCTAACTATATCTGTGTAGTAAATCACAATGAGTTGACGCTCACATGACGTCAGATTTGGGCTTTAACTAGACTACAGTGGAGTTTGTTTGATTAATGAAAGGTTAATTAAATAGTCTTCCAACTGTTTAATGCTTTGTGATGATTTTAACTCATTAAAATCGTTGTTAACCCGGTGCTGCTCCCCTTTATCCCCGGAGCTAGCCGAGGTTAGCCGACACTCCCCAAACACCCCCCGGTGCCTCACCTCTTTCCCCCGACGTTCAGGTGGATGATGTCTCCGCTCCTCGGCGTGTTAGACATCATCTACAGGCTCCTTAAAAACACACACTAACGATACTTTTAAATTTAGTCCATTTTTTTAGCTAACATCAGTTTCCGCTCTTGTTTTCATCCCAACTTCCTGTCTAGCAGTGAGGCGGAGGGTGAGAGGGGAAACGCGGAAGTGGAATTCTGGATCGCGGGGAAGAGATAACAGACGGACCGGAGTCACCGGAACCGGAACTGGACTGCAAGTTTTATTTTAGAGGGATTATTTGATTTTATTGAGACTAATTTTCGCCAAGACAAGAAATAATAAATACAGAAAATTTAATAAAATTAAAGTGATAAAAAGATAATTTACAATACAACTATTATTAATTATGATTACAGTATAATTCACAATCTTGTTTTGTTTTTTGATCTCTGTAATTTTGTGTAAATTTATTCTGCTTTTGGATGAATTGTAAATTGTGTTTTGAAAGATGTTTTTGTAGAATGTGAATTTTTGATTTCCTAAAAAATAAATTTAAAAAAATTATATAAAAAATAAATAAACAAAAAACACAGTTGACTTGTATTTTATTATTTATTTTTGTTTCATTTAAATACTAATAAGCATACATTAATCAGTGCAATATCATCATACTGTTTATAACATATAAAACAGAATACCTGAACATTTTTCAATATAATGAAACATATCTGCAGTTCAATATGAACACATTCAGTGCTGCATCAGGATCAAAACCAGGGTCTGAAATTAATGTTTCTTTCTGCCTGCAGCCTCATCTCATTTGAAATCTATGTCCTTAATAAAGGGACAACATTTAAATAAGCTAAACTTCATTTAACGTAACGTAAATATTGCAAATCAAATGTTAAATATATCAACATAGAGAAAAATACATTTCAGTGTTTTAACTATGACATGGCTTTCAGGGGAGCAGCATTTATCAGGGGTGACACTTTAAATATGAGATCTACTACACTACATATAATTCATACAGACCACTCACCGACACCTCTCTGCCTTGAGCTTCACACTGGCTGCACACACACATCCTTCAGGTGAAACAGACACTTGAGGTAGTGAAGTTAATGCGTGAGCTAGTAAAGATAATACAGTGAACAGTTGATACAGTAAAATGTGTGTGTAGGTGTCCTTTTATTGAGGGTAACTGGTTGGAGCTCAGTGAACTTCGACTGTCGGTCAGAATGATTAAGGCCCAGTAGTGTTGTTCTCATTCAGCAGTTCAGTTGCAAGTGTCCTTCAAATGTGTAGCTCGATGCAGTCATACGCTGACCTTAATAAACACGTGTCTCTGTTGAGCCTTTTCACCATCAGCATGATGATTTTACCGCCACTGCCAACAGTCTACTTGCATCTGACTGGAGGCAGGTGTTAATTTCATTCCCTGCACAAAATTAAGAATCAGGTCCAGCTGCCTGAGGACAATGTTGACACTGTACGTTCATGCAAACCACAGAGACATTACATTTGTGTGTTTCAAATGTGTCATATCAACATTTTAACAAAAAAACAAAACAGGGTGTTATTTAAGGACCAGTCAGTGTTTCCTGCTGGGATAGTGCCACGGATATTTAAGGCCATAACTCGACCTTTTCAAAACCATAACCAAGTGTTTTTTGTGCCTAAATCTAATCACACATTAAAGGTCCAGTGTGTCATATTCAGGGGGATTTAGCGGTGAGGATTGAGGATTGCAACCAGCTGAAACTTCTCCTGGTTAGAATTCCTGCAGTGTTCATTGTTCAGGAGGTTTTTATCAGGGGCTGAATTATCCACTGAGGTCTCTTCCTCTCCAAAACAATTGATTTACACCAGTAAAAACACTGAATAAATCAGTTTCAAGTTTCTCCAACACTCATATCACGAAGAGGCTGCCAATGTGAAAACATGAATGTCCTTCTCTAGAGCCAGTGTTTGGTTTGTCCATTCTGGGCTACTGTAGAAACACAGCAAAGCAACACGGAGATCTCCAAAGATGAAGACCTGCTCCACATGTAGATTAACGGGCCGTACACATGCCACGTCTTTAACTGCCTGCAAACACGAGGTCAGGAGCCTGTGCTACTCTTGAGCCTTTTCTATGCCAGCTTTCAAGAGCGCAGCAGCAGGTTGTGTCTGAGGTTGCTAAGCAACCTAAAATCACCACATCATAGCCCTGAAATCGTGCACTAACCACAGCATTGTTGAAACGAGTTCAACGACACTCGCTACACCACAATGTACAAATATAGCATGGCTGCAGAAACACACAATGCCAACATGTTTTCTGGCGACTGGGTTGAAGAGTCTGCAGCTCTGTGAGGCTGTATTCAGGCACAGTGGTACTTTGGGGAACTGCCCATTGGTTCGACATCCCATTGTTTTCCGACCATATTAAACTCATTGTTCTGAAGTCCGTTCCGAAATCATCATGATGCCCTGTGGTTAAGGTCTGGTTAGGTTTAGGCACAAATCCACTTGGTTAGGGTCAGGAAAAGATCATGGTGTGGGTTAAAATGAAAAAGAAAGTGACAAACACATAAGCCGTGAGCCTGCTCCGCCTCAAGCCGGTTGAGACGCACCATACACCCGCAGCGAGCCGTTCAGCACCGTGGACAGTCGGACTAATGGGCTATCGGACCAATGACATGGACCCGTACTTTGAGCTAAATGCTAACATTAGCATGCTAACATTCTGCGGCTGCATAAAGCACTCAAAGTTAAGATGTCCCTTTACATCTGAATTAAGGTCTCGGGTGCACATAACATCCTTAAGTTTTTCTCCTTATCTTGGTCTTACAGTTAAGGAACTGCTTAAAGTTTGTTAAGCTGTTGCACAGAGGACCTCAGCACCCAAAGGATAAAAACATAAGGTACCTCTGACTGCATCTGAATGGCAACATGGCTGAGTTTATGGTGATAAATGAGGAAGATGAAGGCGTCCTGAGAAGAGTGCTCTGTGACCAGGAGAACCTGATGGACACACTCAATGATGAGTAATTGATTTTGCTCTATTGGATCAGTTAACTTTCCAAAGCTGCGCTCTTCCAGCCGTGTTACAGTAATGATTGCTCTGCTGTTTTATGCAACGGGATCCAATCGGATATTGGCGAGGTATTTCATGTACACAAAACAACAGCGTGACGTGTCATTCACTGAGTTTCAAACACCGCGGTGAAGCTCCTGTCTCCGCAAGAGAAGGATAAGATAGCAATAACAGGTAGGCTATCACAAGCGCACGTTCAAGCAAACAAATGGTCTCTATGGAAACAGAATTTTAACTGCTGTAAGATCTCTTTCAGTGCAGTGAATGATTTAATGTCTGTCCTTGACCATGGAAACTTTTTAAGAGATTCTGTGCAACACCCTTAAGTTATTTCCTCTGGAGTCTAGTGGCTATAGTGTTTCCCATGTTCCCCATCCTAGTTTAGCGTGTTAGCATGCTATCGTTAGCTAATAAGCAATAAACAGTCCAGCTGAGGCAAAAGGGAATAATGCTTCTGCAGGTATTTGGTCATAAACCAAAGCATTGGACACATAGAAATGCTGATCAGTTGAAGGCATGAGATGAAAAGTCAAAGAGTCATCAAAGTTATTACAGTTCATCCTGAAGGGAACATGAGTGTCAGAGCAATATTTCACCAACAAACAGAGCTCTGCCTCTTCCCTTTGGTTTCACCACAGCAGTGTTTCTTGAGCTGCCTGGATTTGGAGAAGCCGCGGCTGCAGGAGTGCAACTTCACCCCGGTGTGGATCTGCATGTGTGACTTGAGCTGGTTGGACTGGCTGAACTTACTGCTGCACACCTGGCACTCGTACGGCCGCTCTCCTCTGTGGAGTCTAGCGTGTCGGTAAAAGTTGTTGCGCGTCCTGAAAGCTTTGCCGCACTGCTCGCAGGTCTACCTCTTCTCCCCGGTGTGGAGCGTCATGTGCTCCATCAGACGGCTCAGCTGCAGGAAACTCTTCCCGCACACAGTGCAGCTGTTTGACATCTCCTTCCTGTGCCGCCGCATGTGGTGAACAAACATGCATTTACGGTGGAAGGACTTCCTACAGGTGGCGCAGATGAAGTTGTTTTCCTCTACGTGAACTCTAGACAAACCTTTCTGACCATCTTTCTGTGGCGTCTCTCGGTCCTGGTGCACCACCTGTTGGTGCTCCAGCAGTTTAGAGTTGTAAAAAAAATGTCTTCCCGCACAGGTCACACATCAACGGCTTTTTGGCACCGTGAACGAGCATGTGAGTCTTGAAAGCACAACTTCCTGAGAACTCCGCCCCGCACTCCTCGCACATGTAGGGTTTCTCCCCCGTGTGGACACGCAGGTGTCACCAGAGGTTGTTCTTGAGACCAAATCTGATCCTGCACGTCTGGCGCACGAAGGGTTTCTCCCCTGTGTGGACGACCTGGTGCTGCACCAACGCTCGCTTCAGCTTGAACGTCTTGCCGCAGTCGGCGCATCTGAACGGCCGCTCCTCTGAGTGCACTCTGAATCCTTTCCCACAGGTGTCGCAGACGAACGGGCGGACTCCAGCGTGAGCGGCCAGGTGTCATCGCAGCAGGTGCATCTTAGTGTAAGTCTTCTCACAAACGGAGCACTTAAAGGACGTCTGCGCTTCGTGGCGTAACAGGTGTGCCTCCAGATTCCTCTGGAGTCTGAACTGTCTGTCACAGCGGCTGCACAGCAGCATTTGCTTCTCTCTTGCTGTTTCACTTTGTGTCTCTGGAGGTGAGTCTGCAGAGTCTTCTCCCCGTGGAAGCGTTTGTCACACTGGTCACAGGAGAAAGGTTTGTCGTGACAGCTCATGTGCTGCTTCAGATGATGTCGGTACTGGAAACCCTTGCTGCATTTCTCACAAAGAACTCGCCTCTGTTGTTGATTCTCCTTCCCAGAAGGTTCCGCTGCAGCCCACTGACTTTAGTTTCAGTCACTCTCAGATCCAGGTTGTGAGGGAAGTTCTCCTCTCTGAAGAAAAGACGGACTCGGTGTGAGGAATCAAGTCTCATGCAGCACGGAGAGAAGACCCAAGTGTTCTCTGACAACCTTCAGAATGTGCAGACCTTTATACCAAACTGAAGCTCTGACCCAGCTATGATCGTAAAGGAGAGTGCTCCCCATAAAACAGGTTTATCA